AAAAAAAAAAAAAAAAATTGTGTGTTCAGTTTAACTAACGAATCATTATAAAATAATACAAAATGCCACGTCAAGGATTGCCAGAAGTCCTAAAGCCTCTCCCCACTGCCCACTGAATAATTATTTTTCAGGTGAATTGTTGTTAGCATTTAAAATTCAGGAGATTTTACATGAAAAACCAATTTCTGACCTCTCTTGAAAAATCAGAAAATGCAGCCACACTGGGCCCACATTTTCAGATGGCAACAACCGCCTGGAGCGTGGAGTGTGGCTTTTTTAGGGGGAGCATATGCCCTCTTCAGCTCAACTTTAAGGCCAAGTGTCAGTTGCCATTTATGATCACACTTGAGCCACTTGCCTTGGAGGTAGGTGTCTGAATTTCTGAACTTTGCTTTAGCATATTGAAAACAGAAGGAGGTTGGATGTCGGAAAGTGAGGCCAAGGAAGGATGCATGCTTCTGGTGCAGGCGGTGGGATGGTGCCCTTCCCTGAGACAGGAGCTCCAAGTTTAGAGAAGATGATGTGCTTGTTTCTAGACACACTGAGTTTGAGGTGCTTGTGGATGAGCAAGCAGGGCAGAGCTATCTAGTAGACAGTTGCACAACCAAGCCTGGAGCCCAGGTTAGCCATGCAGGTTTGGGGATCATCAGCTTTTGGAAGGCAGCCGAAGCTGTGGGAGTGGAGGAGATGACCAAGGGGGAGTGTGCTGGATGTGAAGAACCTTGGGGAGTCCACATTGAAGGAAGCCGCAAGGAAAGCAGATTTTTTACTGTGTCCCCAGCGCCTAGCTGAATGATATTTACATGGGGTGCTGGAGAGAGTAGGATACTCCTACTGAAAGGAAGGGTAGAAAAGAGGACCGTGGTCCAGAAGCCAGGGAAAAAAGTGCGTAGGGTATAGTCCACCACGATGTTAAAACCTACAGGCATGCCGGGCGTGGTGGCTCATGCCTGTAATCCCAGCACTTTGGGAGGCCAAGGTGGGTGGATCACCTGAGGTCAGGAGTTCGAGACCAGCCTGACGAACATGGAGAAACCCCATCTCTACTAAAAATATAAAAGCCTGGAGAACCCACGTGGGACAGGCAACCGTGAATCATAGTGGTGCCAAGCTGTGTGGTCATGTGACCTTCTCCAGCCTTTCCCACAGGGACTCGAGGGGAGGACAGTCGAATTTAGCCAGCACTGGCGTTTAGTCAGGAGGTTTAGACTAAGGAATGAGACAAAGTGAGTGAGGATTGGCAAGAGAGTGGTTAAAATAAAGGATAGCGAGGTCTGTGGAGGAGGAAGTGAAGTAGGGTAGGGGTTAACAGGAAGAAAGGCCAGGAGTCAGTGGCCTGAAAAATAAGTAGGCTGGGAGAACTTGAGGACCAGTGCTGGGATGCAGGGAGGAAGCTGGGCCCTGGGAGCAGGAGGTCTGAGTGGGCTGTCTCAGATAGAGCGGTTGTGAACAGCAAGCTTCAGGGCGCGGCATGGGAGTGGCAGCTGGAATAGGAAAGAAGACACCACTGGATATGAGGTGGCAAAGAACACTTAAGATGAAGGCTTCAAATGCAGTTTAAAATTTCCTGGTATCTCCTTTTTTTTTTTTTTTTTTTGAGACAGTGTCTCTGTTACCCAGGTTGCCCAGGCTGGAGTGCAGTGGCGCAATCTCAGCTCACTGCAGCCTCCACCTCCTGGGTTCAAGCGATTCTCCTGCCTCAGCCTCCTGAGTAGCTGGGACTACAGGCACCCGCCACTGCGCCCAGCTAATTTTTTGTATTTTTAGTAGAGATGGGGTTTCACCGTGGTCTCGATCTCCTAACCTTGTGATCCGCCCGCCTTGGCCTCCCAAAGTGCTGGGATTACAGACGTGAACCACCGAGCCCAGCCAATTTTATACTTTTTTTTGTAGAGACGGGATTCCACCGTGTTGGCCAGGCTGGTCTCAAACTCCTGAGCTCAAGTAATCCGCCTGCCTCGGCCCCACAAACTGCTGGGATTACAAGTGTGAGCCACCACACCAGGCCTCTGCTTCATTTCTTATCTCGGCATTTCCCCGTGTGTCCCAGCCTCTCCCACTTGCTCGGTTGTTCCTCTAGTTTATCCCCTTGTGCATTCCCCTCACTGCCTGGCTTCTCTCTCTCAAAGGTTCCTTCTGATTCTCTTTGTGGAAATTGACTACTGGGAGCGGCTGCTGTTTGAGACGCCCCATTACGTGGTGAACGTAGCCGAGCGAGCCGAGGACCTGCGCATTCTGCGTGAAAATCTGCTACTTGTTGCTAGAGACTACAACAGGTAGAGCTCCAGTCCTCACTGCAGCCCTTCGAGATGCTATTTGATTCCTCCTTTTTCTCTTATCTGCCCTGTGATGTTGTCCATTTTCTGCAATTTCTGTCCTCTACATTTTTTTCGTCTCAAAAAAAAAACAAAGGTCTCCCACTCTTATGGCTCTACCATTATTCCTACCCCTTGTAGTTTTATCTTCTAGCTGCAGGGTGGAGCGTAAAGCCAATCAGGTCCCCTCGTACCCCATAGGGCACTTGGACCACATATATTGTAGCTCTGGGCCACTTCTCTAGGAATGAAACGGGCTGGTATTAGGACTATGTGCACAGAATAACATGACTCATTGAACTAAGGCCTGCTGCCCCCATCCCTGCCTCAGTTTCTGGACTGCCTTGGTATTCTCTCTGGAGTGAGGCTTTGTTCTGGGTTAGGTACTGTCTTAGTCTGTTTGGGCTTCTATAACAAAATGCCATAGACCAGTTGGCTTATAAACAACAAACATTTGTTTCTCACACTTTTGGGGGTTGGTGAGTCCAAGAGCAAGGTGCCAGCAGATTTGGTGTCTGGTGAGGGCCTGCGTCCTGGTTCATAGGTGGCTGTCTTCTTGCTGTGTCCTCACATAGTAGAAGGAGACAAGGGAGCTCTCTTAGGCCTCTTTCATGAGGGCACTAATTCCATTCATGAGGGCTCTACCCTCATGACCTAATCACCTCCCAGAGGTCCTAACACCATCACTGTGGGAGTGGGGGTTTTAACATACAAATTTGGTGGGGACACAAATATACAGACCATAGCAGGAAACTTTCTCAGCCCAGTTAAAGTCCAAGGAAGTGCAACCAGCAGTCTTGTTTGAGTGTCTAGAACTGCAGTGTCCAACATGGTGGCCTCTAGCTGCATGTGGCTATTTCCATGTAAATTAAGTAAATAAACTTCAAAATTCAATTACTCATTGGTACAGGCCACATTTCAAATGCTCCATAGCCATATGTGATGAGTGGGTGCCATATTGGACAGCACACATTGTATTAGGTTGGTACAAAGTGATTGCAGTTGTTGCCATTACTTAGATGACAATCACTTTTGCACCAACCTAAGAGAACACTCCATCATTGCAAAAAGTTCTTTTGGAAGTACTAGTCTAGGATCTGGGATCTAGGATCTAGACTAGTGGTCTAGAAACATTCAGATTTCTCCACCATTTCCTGATGTGGAGGAAAGATCTTCAGGGCTTGTTCCCTCTGGCTACCAGGCCTCTCTTACGCACAGGATTATTGCCATGCTGTCCCCAGATGAGCAGGCCCTTTTCAAAGAGCGTATTCGGTTCCTGGATAAGAAGATCCACCCGGGACTCAAGAAACTGCACTGGGCCTTGAAGGGGGCCAGTGCCTTCTTCATCACGGAGTGCCGTATACATGCCAGCAAGGTGGGCCATGGTCCTTAGACCCTAAAGGTCTGCAAGGCTGATGGATCATTTATACTCGAGTGTTGCATAGAGATTGGGAAACCTGTGGGTAGTGTAAAAAGAATTAAGTTTGCTTTGGGAAGGACTTTTTTGTGTGTCATCCAGTCTAGCTGGAGAACAAGTGGGAGAGTAGAATGAGGTCCAGATGGTCTCTTCCCAAGCTGAAACTCCCCCATGGTGGGGCCTGACTCTAGGTGCAGATGATTGTGAATGAGTTCAAGGCATCCACTCTGACCATTGGCTGGCGAGCCCAAGAGATGTCAGAGACGCTGCTGGTACGCATTAGTGGCAAACGGGTATACAGGGACCTGGAATTTGAAGAGGACCAAAGAGAGCACCGGGCAGCTGTACAGCAGAAATTGATGAGCCTGCACCAGGATGTGGTGACCATCATGGCCAACTCTTATGAGGTCTTCAAGAATGATGGTCCTGAGGTAGGGTTCCTGTGGCCAGAATGTTGTGGTTGGAAAAACCACAGTCCCCCAGTTTCATCAGGCCATTCTCTTGCTCCCGACCCTTTTTTCTTTTTACCAGTGTGTACTTCTCAAACATCGTGCTCTAGTCTTGGACTCAGCCGACCTTCAGTCCTCACACCTCTTCCTCTAGGACTCAGAGTCCTGCCTTTCCTTTAAACCAAGTTGTTTCCTTCCCTGTTGAAATCTCATTTCCCAGGATGTGCACTGTCTTCCCTGAAAAGTTCTCTTTTTCCTCCCTCCGTCCCATCAGATTCAGCAGCAGTGGATGCTGTACACGATTCGGCTGGACCGCATGATGGAGGATGCCCTGCGCCTGAATGTGAAGTGGTCACTGCTAGAACTATCCAAGGCTATCAACGGGGATGGAAAGACCAGCCCAAACCCACTCTTCCAAGTCCTTGTCATTTTGAAGAATGATATGCAAGGAGGTGTGGCACAGGTAGGAACCGCTTTGCCCCCAAAATCTCAAAACCATTACATCTTATTTGTCAGTTTCCCTTAATTCCTAAACTTGGTCCTTGGCCTTGACTTTATCCTGTGGCCTTCAGACCTGCTGCTGAAGTGCGTGACCTTCCCAGTCCTAAGGCTTATCTCTCCCTCTCCACTGGGTTCCTCACAGGTGGAATTCTCACCCACTCTGCAGACTTTGGCAGGTGTGGTCAATGACATTGGCAACCACCTCTTTTCCACCATCTCTGTCTTCCGCCACCTCCCTGACATTCTCACCAAGCGCAAGTTACATCGTGAACCCATTCAGACAGTTGTAGGTGAGTGGGCAACGGGGAGGGCACAAGGCACAGGGTTTCAGAGGCTGTCGAGTGGGCCAGGCCAGGAGGAGAGACCGGGGCTGTTTCCAGACGTACTGGGCCAGTCACCTCCATGACCTGGGGAAAACTCAGGTCAAGGGACCAGATCCGCTGGGCACAGTGGCTCATGCCTGTAATCCCAGCACTTTGGGAGGCCGAGGCAGGCGGGTCATTTGAGGTCAGGAGTTCGAGACTAGCCTGGCCGACATGACAAAACCCCATCTCAACTAAAAATACAAAAACTAGCCATGCATGGTGGCGAGTGCCTATAATCCCAACTGCTTAGGAGGCTGAGGCAAAGAATCACCCAGGAGGTGGAGGTTGCAGTGAGCTGAGATCATGCCACTGTACTCCAACCTGGGTGACAGAGTGAGACTCCATCTAAAAAAAAAAAAAAAATAGCAGGGGGGCCAGTTTGGGGAAGGGAGCAGGGGCACGGATGGGGGTTGAGATTAGGTGACCAATGCTCATGGGATTTGGGATTTGGGATGGGAGATGAGGAAGGACAAGCTTGGGACTGGGACTGGGACTAGGCTATAAGAGGCCTAGACACCAACAGGCAAGACATCAGATCCTATGAAGGAGACATTAAGAGTCACATTTTTACTTTCTGCCTACTCCTTTACCTTCTAATGTGCATGTTTGAGCTGTATTTCTTTGGGAAGCTGGTTTTGGAGTGGAAGGTCTGGAGCAGTGGGCAGGGCCCAGGCAGAACTTGGGTTGGGGTGGAAGTCAGTGAGAAGCATTTTTCTTGATCCTTTGAAGAGCAAGATGAGGACATCAAGAAGATCCAGACCCAAATCAGCAGCGGCATGACTAACAACGCGAGCCTGCTGCAGAACTACCTCAAGACCTGGGACATGTACCGGGAGATCTGGGAGATCAACAAGGACTCTTTCATTCGTCGCTACCAGCGCCTCAACCCACCTGTCTCTTCTTTTGATGCCGACATTGCCCGGTGAGTGGTGAGGGTGGACTGAAAGTCTGTCTGTAGGAGGCACAGCACTAGAGGAGGAGCCTGGGCCTAGAGTCTTCGGAAGCAGGTGGTGGGGCTGAGGACGACATGTGTCCTCAACGACAGGAAAAGAACAAGACCTAGGACATCGGACCTTTGCTTCTCAAGGGGTAGAGATCAAGGAAGAGCTGGACACGATTTAGGTGAAAAGCAGTTGTCTAGGGGAGGATGGCAGGGCCTGGTGGGAAAAAGGAAATTCCAGAGATCTGGAAGATGAAAGAAATGAGCCCTTTTATTCTAAGAAGGCAGATGGGAGTTAAATGGAAGATTCTTTTGTTTGTTTTATTTTGTTTGAGACAGGGTCTTGCTCCGTCATTGCCCAGGCTGAAGTGCAGTGATGTGATCATAGCTCACTGTGGCCTGGACCTCCTGGGCTCAAGCGATCCTCCTGCCTAACCCTCCCGAGTAGCTGGGACCACAGGCACATGCCACTATGCTTGGATAATTTTCTTTTCTTTTCTTTTCTTTTTTTAATTTTTTGTAGAGATTCTATGTTGCTCACTCTGGAAGAATTTTTTTTTTTTTTTAATTTCTTTTATTTGAGACAGAGTCTCACTCTGTCACCCAGGCTGGAGTGCAGTGCAACCTCTGCTTCCCAGGTTCAAGCAATTCTCATGCCTCAGCCTCCCGAGTAGCTGGGATTACAGGTATCTACCACCACGCCTGGCTAATTTTTGTATTTTTAGTTCAGATGGGGTTTCACCATGTTGGCCAGGCTGGTCTCAAACTCCTGACCTCAAGTCATCCACCCGCCTCAGCCTCCCTCAGTGCTGGGATTACAGATGTGAGCCACCATGCCTGGCCTAGAAGAAGATCTTAATTTCTGATCTTTTTTTTTTTTTTTTTTTTGAGACGGAGTCTCGCTCTGTCGCCCAGGCTGGAGTGCAGTGGCGCGATCTCGGCTCACTGCAAGCTCCGCTTCCCGGGTTCCTGCCATTCTCCTGGCTCAGCCTCCCGAGTAGCTGGGACTACAGGCGCCCACAACCGCGCCCGGCTAATTTTTTTTGTATTTTTAGTAGAGACAGGGTTTCACCGTGGTCTCGATCTCCTGACCTTGTGATCCACCCGACTCGGCCTCCCAAAGTGCTGGGATTACAGGCGTGAGCCACCGCGCCCAGCCTTAATTTCTGATCTTAACTCACATCTTTTTATGGGCCTCTGGTCATTCATTCATTCATTCTGTAAACATTCCATAAACATGCGTTGTATGGGCCATGAGGAGTTAAGGAAAAAAAAAAAAGAAAGAAAATAAATGAGCAAGTTCTTTCCTCTTGAGGGCTCTAGAGTAGTAAGGAAGATAAAAGTACAGCTGAAAGAGCGGTGGCCGTGGTGTCACGAGAAGACTTGGAATCGCAGCTGTGCCACTTACTAGCTGTGTGACTTTAGGCAGGTTTTCTAGATTCTCTGGGCCTCAGTTTTCTGTGAAACAGATATTATACTACCTACCTTGGAACCTTGTGAAATGATTAAAGATACACGAAAGCACTTTGTAGGCTGCAGCTGTGGGCTCATGTACTGTATTATTACACAGCTGCACCGTGGTAAGTACTATGAGGAAGGGATATAACATGCCAGGGCAGTTCAATGGAAGGAGAGAGGATTTCCAGCTAGGGATTTTAGGGAAGGCTTCCAGGAGAAAGGGACTTTGCATAGGATTTCAACAGGCAGAGATGGGCAGTGGGGAAGGCATTCCACATGGAGGGAATGGCATGAGCAAAGGCATAAAGATGTGAGTCCATGAGCACGTTCACCCTGCAGAGTGAGATCTGCAGCGTAGGCACAGGAAAGGAAGAACACAAAGGGGTTCTGCAGCATCCAAGTGGATTCTCCCAACCACCTTGTGAGGCAGGCTCTGTTACTATCACTGTGTTACAGATGAGGAAACCAAGGCTCACAGTTAAAAAAAACAAACAAAACCTGCTTGAGGTCATAGAACTAGGAAGCAGCACAGGGTGAACTCAACCCAGATCTGTGCCACTCTAAAGCTTTTTTTTTTTTGAGATGGAGTCTCACCCTGTCACCCAGGCTGGAGTGCAGCGGTGCCATCTTGGCTCACTGCAGCCTCCGCCTCCTGGGTTTAAGTGATTCTCCTGCCTCAGCCTCCCCAGTAACTGGGATTATAGGCGCCCGCCACCACACCCAGTTCATTTTTGTATTTTTAGTAGAGACAAGGTTTCACCATGTCGGCTAGGCTGGTCTTGAACTCCTGACCTTGTGATTCACCCGTCTCAGCCTCCCAAAGTGCTGGGATTACAGGCGTAAGCCACCATGCCCGGCCTCACTCTAGAGCTTTGAATGCCAGACTAAGAAGTTTGACAGCTATCTTATAGCCAGTGACTGGGAAAATGACAGTCACAGCTGCATGGCTGGGGCAGATTGGAATGAGGGATGCCTGGGAGTAGAAGAACTCTCTAGAATTGCTGCCCAGATATGGGTGGAAGGAAATGAGACCTGGAGCCCGTGCTGGGACAGGGGGCATGTCTGTGAAGAAAACGACATTCTAGCTGGGATCCGGGGCTCTTGCAGCTACACAGAAGTTGCTAATAATGTGCAGAAAGAGGAGACCGTCACCAACATCCAGTTTGTGCTGCTGGACTGTTCGCACCTCAAGTTCTCCCTGGTGCAGCACTGCAATGAGTGGCAGAACAAGTTCACGACTCTGCTGAGGGAGATGGCTGCTGGGCGTCTCCTGGAGCTGCACACCTTCCTGAAGGACAATGCAGAGAAGTGCGGGCTGGGGCGCCCTGCAGGAAGGGGCCAGGGGCAGGCCCTGGGCCTTCCACTCATTAGAGCTCCCTTTGCCCACCTTCAGAATCAGCCGCCCTCCCCAGACGCTGGAGGAACTGGGGGTCAGCTTGCAGCTCATGGATACCCTGCAGCACGATTTGGCCAACCTGGAGACTCAGATCCCTCCCATACACGAGCAATTTGCCATTCTTGAAAAGTACGAGGTGCCAGTCGAGGACAGTGTGAGTTCCTGTGGTGTTTGGTCTACCTGGAACCCGTATCGGCGGCAGATTGCAGGGGAGGCCCTTGGCTGTCCTCAGGGAGAGTAGAGAAGTGACAGGAGGAGGAGACTCCAGATTTGAAAGCCAAAGCTAGCTCAAACGATACCTTTACTTAGCTTCTGGATTTCTTTTTCCTTTTTTTTCTTTTCTTTTTCTTCCTCCTCTTCCTCTTCCTCTTCTTCTTTTTTTTTTTTAAATAGAGTCTGGCTCTGTCACCCAGGCTGGAGAGCAGTGGTACGATCTCGGCCTACTGCAACCTCTGCCTCCCAGGCTCAAGTGATTCTCCTACTTCAGCCTCCCGAGTAGCTGGGACCACAGGTGCATGCCACCACACCTGAGTGATTTTAGTATTTTTTGTAGAGATGGGGTCTCATTTTGTTGCCGAGGATGGTCTTAAACTCCTGAACTCAAGCAATCTGCTGACCTTGGCCTCTCAAAGTGCTGGGGTTATAGGTGTGAACCACTGCACCCAGCTGGTTTTACTTACTGCATTTACTTTTTGTTTTTTTTTTGGTTTTGGCCTCATTCTCAGACAGACAGCTTTGAGACTTTTTTTTTTTTTTTTTTTTTTTTTTTTTTTTTTTTT